GTTGGAAAACCTTAATTAATAAATAAAAATAAAAAGTGAATAATATATAGGACTATTAAATATTGAGGTTAATGTCCATGCAACTCGGTAAGAGAAAACCCAAGATCCGACCCTTTATTGGTTCCCATTAACATATATCATTGACCTTTGCATGTTTTGTTTATACAAAGATTCGACCTTTAATGCCTCCCATCAACATGTATCATTGATCTTGCATATTTTAATTTAAAAATATAGAACAATATATTCATATCCAAGCACGTTAGTAGTAGTAGCGCTCTTCTACATGCAACTCACCTAGTAAAAAAATATATATATAAATTAAATGAATGATGAAAAGACATGGGTACAAATCTTGCACATTCATCTCAATGATTAGTTCATTTCTTAACAAACATTATACCATTTAGGTTTGAGGATTTCTTAAATATGTACTCTAGTCTTGATGAGTGTGTACATATGTGCTTGGGGTAGTGGAAATTTAAAATAAGAAAAATACAGTTTATAAGGAATTTGTTATTCGAATAATCTAATAATAATAATATTTTTGTAATTAAAAATTATTTTAATAGATATTGTGTTTTAAAATGATAGGGTTGTTTGGAATGTATTAAATAAATATACTTATTTGAGTCACATTATCTCTTTATTTTTCTACATATCTTTTTATAAAAAATTAAAAAATATATTTATTTAGTACTTTTCAAACAACCTATAAGATTTCATCGGTTAGTAAGAAATTATAAATGAATTTATTGGGATACCTTTGTCTTTTAAAAACTCAACTATGTAGTCTCACTATTGCAATATGGGAATTTTTGTTTTAAATTAGTTAGTTATGTTGCTACAATAATATAATATGAGATTTTCACTAATTGATAATATTATTGCCTAATATTATCTTATATTCAACATTTACTTGTATTAACCAATCAGGTTAATTTGTTGGCTAAAATCCTTAGAGTAATTCCACTCAAACTTTCAAACTCAGTGGTGTTAAATTTTTTTAAAGATTTAGGTGGCAAATTGACATATGTCAATTTAACATGGAAGCTCTCTAACTAATATGTCATCTATTATTCTATTATTTTTAAAATTTGAATTCTTTTATTTTACTAATTAAAATAAATTTATTTTTAAAAGAGGTTTGATGCCATTTACATAGTATTTTATTTTTTAAAAATTTCAATATTTATAAAATAAGTTTTTAACAAAATTCAAAATTTCTATTCATTGCTACTTAAACATTTTTTTTAATTTGGGGAAAAAAGAAAAATTACAAGACATATTTAAAATAAAAAAAATTGACAACACATAAATATCATTATAAATCACCTGCTACGATTGCCCTTGAAAATGTTATAGTGTGAATGATTAAAAAAAATATTTTGCTCAACTCCAAATTTATAGATGATAAAAATGGAGATCTGGAATTCTATTGTGTGCTGATTAGAAAATAGTGTGACACAAGCATGCATGCAAGGTTTGATTCTTGGAAATGCATGAGTAGAAGAAGGGGCAAGTAAAAAGAATAATGGTACAGATCATGAAAAATATATTATGAAATGTATCATGAAAATTTTTTATTCTTTGATTAATGTATGATATATATGTGTGATCCAAATGTGAAAAATATTTCATGATCATTTTCATGATATTTTTTTCATGATCCGTAACATTACTCAAGTAAAAAATCAAAAAGTACATTAAATAAGCAGATTTCAAACAAAAATCTCATTTCAGCTACATCATTTTGTACATAATTTTGCATACTTTTTTTTTGGTTGTTGGTATATTATCATTATTAAAATAATTCTACCAAAATGCTATTACTGCTGATATATATTTACCGAATTTTTTACTAGAACTCCTCACTTTTTATCTGTAATTTCTCATATGTTACTGTGGGCTCTAGTATTTTTTAAATATGGCAGTCTCATATATAACATAAAGTTATATGTCAACACATATATATAGGAGGTGAAATAAAATGATAAAATGTATGAGCAATATTAATTTTCTCTTTTAGCCTCCGTTTGGCAAGTTGGTTTATGGGCTTTTTTGGCTATTTTAGCCACAAAAGACAAAATAAGTTATTTTAGTCACAACAAACAAAGCATCACATCCAACCCATAATCATTACACTGTTCTCTCACAAAAAAAGTCAAAAAAGTCAAAAAGTCAAAAAGTCTTTCCCAAACCAAGCTTTTTAGCCCAGGCTAAAATAGTCGAATTATTGTTGTTGAGCGTGATTGATATTGTCTTCATTTTTTACTTTATGTTCTAAAAAATAAAATAATGAAAACTGATACAGAAAATTTGCTTAACTAAAGTGTTTCCAAATTTTTTTTAAATATTCTGAAAACACTCTCCTATGTTTTAGTAAATATTTTTAAAGTCGATTTTAAAAAATTTCACAAAAATGAAAGAATATAAAAACATGGGTGTTCTCAAACATTCATTGCTTTTGTTTCCACACACAACATAAGTATGAAAAATGAAAACAATCCCATGATCCGTGATTAGGCTCTCTCGAGATGCGTGGTATTCATTATAATCTATTAATTAACAATTTATTACCGCAACGCACAAGTAAACTTTGATCCTTGAATTATAAGCATTGGGTCTTTTGGGAAGCCCAATTTTTAGTTTTTTACTCATTTTAAATCACATCACCTCTCATATTTTTTACTCACAAAAAGATAAAATAAATTAAAAAAAAAGCTAAAAATCTAGTTTTTTATTAACTTTCCAAAAAAACCATATTAAAAATATGAATTGATTGAATAGTACTATTAAGCCATCAGTACTGACTTTGCAAACTTACCCAGATTTACATAGAAAATGTCAATCAGAAAATCCATTCATTCAACTAGTTTCCATAGCTTGCGCTGAACAATTAGCTGAACAATTAGTACTAATTGTTTTTATTATTTAAAAAAATGGAGATCTGGAATTCTATTGTGTGCTGATTAGAAAATAGTGTGACACAAGCATGCATGCAAGGTTTGATTCTTGGAAATGCATGAGTAGAAGAAGGGGCAAGTAAAAAGAATAATGTTACAGATCATGAAAAATATATTATGAAATGTATCATGAAAATTTTTCATTCTTTGATTAATGTATGGTATATATGTGTAATCCAAAGGTGAAAAATATTTCATGATCATTTTCATGATATTTTTTTCATGATCCGTAACATTACTCAAGTAAAAAATTAAAAAGTACATTAAATAAGCAGATTTCAAACAAAAATCTCATTTCAGCTACATCATTTTGTACATAATTTTACATTCTTTTTTTTTGGGAGTATATTATCATTATTAAAATAATTCTACCAAAATGCTATTACTGCTGATATATATTTTCCGAATTTTTTACTAGAACTCTTCACTTTTTATCTGTAATTTCTCATATGTTACTGTGGGCTCTAGTATTTTTTAAATATGGCAGTCTCATATATAACATAAAGTTATATGTCAACACATATATATAGGAAGTGAAATAAAATGATAAAATATATGACCAATATTAATTTTCTCTTTTATTGTTGTTGAGCGTGGTTGATATTGTCTTCATTTTTTACTTTATATTCTAAAAAATAAAATAATGAAAACTGATTATAATTAGAAAAAAAAAATTAATTAAAAAATCAATTGAAAGAAAAAATTAATTGGAAAAAAAAATTAATTGAAAAAAAAATTTGTTAGTCAAATTTTTAAATTTTTGTTTAAAAACCAACGTAAACTCATTTTTTTAGTTTAAGTTTTTTTCCTCAATTTACAGATTGAGACAAACATTTATAAACTAAAAAAATTATCAAACAAGTTTTTATGACAGTTTTTTAAATTTTTGTGTATATAAACTAAAAATTGGAAATGAAATAGTTACCAAACAGATTCTAAATGTTTCGAATTATATTTTTAAATATTCTGAAAACACTCTCCTATGTTTTAGGAAATATTTTTAAAGTTGATTTTAAAAAATTTCACAAAAATGAAAGAATGTAAAAACATGGGTGTTCTCAAACATTCATCGCTTTTGTTTCGGCACAACATGAATATGAAAAATGAAAACATTAAAAATAAAAACAATTCCATGATCCGTGATTAGGCTCTCTCGAGATGCGTGATATTCATTATAATCCATTAATTAACAATTTATTAGAAGTAGACTTTGATCCTTGAATTATAAGCATTACATTAAGAATATGATTTGATTGAATAGTTATTTTAGAAAGTTAGTTAAAAGTTATTTTTTTTATTTTTGTGACTTTTTTAACTGAAAAAACTAAATTTTTTTTATGACTTTTTTGACTAAAAAAATTAAAAAAACTAACCTTTTATAAAGTTCTCAAAACACCTCTAAGCCATGAGTACAGACTTTGCAAACTTAGCCAGATTCACATAGAAAATGTCAAATCAGAAAATCCATTCATTCAACTAGTTTCCATAGCTTGCTCTGAACAATTAGTACTAACTGTTTTTATTATTTTAAAAAAAATGGAGATCTGGAATTCTTTTGTGTGCTGATTTAGAAAATAGTATAACACAAGCATGCATGCAAAGTTTGATTCTTGGAAATGCATGAGTGGAAGAAGGGGCAAGTAAAGTTGCTGAAGTCACAGCTGACGTAATCATCACATCATTATCACTTCCCATCATTTTAATTTTTTTGAAAAAGTAAAATATTTTATGAACATTCAATTATGTGGGAAAATGTAATACCACATAACTACAAAAATTTAACGAGTTTATTATTTACAATAATTACAAATTCATCTGTATTCAAATTGAAGACCTCAGAGATAGTAATACTGTCAATCAGATGTCAGTAAACCATACGGATCCACCAAATCATTCTTATTTTGCTTTGACATATTCTCGGCTACCAAACAGAAGATTTTTGGAGAAATCCATCGCTCAAATGACTTGATAATTGGGTACGAACATCATTTTTCCAAGGTTTGTTTTAACTAGATGCATCTATCAGCCAGCAAATATAAACAAACCAGTTTTACAGCACAACTACATTAATATAATAGAGTGATATGCATCATTGTGCACATAACAATGAAATTCTCAAAATAGCTGCAATTCCAAATATTCTTCCAGCACATGAACTAATCCACCACACCCTAGAGGGGTTAAGGTCAACGAGAAAGTAGCTGCAATACTACACAAGGAAGTGAACCTAATAATAATAATAAATGAGCATCTACTTTTGGACCAATGGTTGGGCAGTCAATCTACATTTTTAGTTTGGGAAAAGCTTCATAAGAAGATGAAGCCTCGCAGTTTAATATCAAACACAAACACAGACCAAAAACTACTACTGAACAAGCAGAGCTATCTGCAACTTAAAATTTATGTTGTAGGATTTGGGTATGCTTTTGGCTTTGGCTTCACTTCAACTTCATTTACACTTCGTACAAAGATAGCATCTGGTTCATGACTGCAAATAGATGAGGAAACAAGTCACATGAGCACATACACATGCACAGCATACTGAGAGAGAGAGAGAGAGAGAGAGAGAGAGGGAGAGATGTCCATTCTTACGGTTTATCCCCCTCTTCGAATGTATAACTGGATGCCACAGCTAAGAGTCGGCCATCTCTGCTGAATGATAAGGCTGCAACGCTTGTTGGGTATTTTGAGTACTGCACGTCAAAATTGATGGAAGAATTACAGCACTTCCAGTAAATGTGTACTTAATTCTACAGAAATATTGAATGATGGAATCATTTCTATTAATATTTTACCTGATACAACCTCTTCTTATTGTTGCCATCCCACACGTTCACATAACCATCACAACCCCCAGTTGCAAATGTACCATAGCTGCAGGTTGAATTTGTGGGTAAGTCCAAGTACAAAAGTGGAGTAGAAAGAAACAGCCAAAATCACCATCCTTACATCAACTTCTAGTTCAACTGAGTTTAATGTCATCGTGTCCAAGACTAGAACCAAGTCTAAAGAGAATTTTGAGGAACTTACATCGGGTGAAATGCAATGGCATTTACTGGGTAGACAATGTCCCTTCCAGCTTCTGACTTTCGATGACACTTGAATGCATATCTGCATAAAGTTTAAACCAAGTAATGAAATTTTTACTAGCCCAAAATATAGTTTGTGCTATGATGTGTATAAGCCATGCCTGCATTTTCATGCCATAAGGTTATAATGTATTCCTTGGTTGTACTTTGGAATGTCAGTAATAAAGGTTCTAAAAAAAAAGTTATAATGGAAGAAGATTTCCCTCTTCATCGTCATATGGTCAAATAACATTGTAATCCGTGCTGTCAGAAGGGTACTCCTATAATTTCAATGGGAAAAATTGCTAACAAGTCATGGGGAAATTACCCACCCCAAAAAAAAAAAGCATGGAGCACTTGAAGGTGGTAGGTCATTATTCTCTAACATAAAACACTACACATAAATTTTCTTTTTTTAATACATGAGAGCTGAATTGTGCTTCATTTGAATTACTATCGCATAAAGATCAAAGCAACCATCTATTATTCTGCAATCAATGGTCAGTCTCAGGAAATACTTGAATGCGGAATCCGGCAAAATTTAAGAAAAAACTTAATAGTAGATAAGTTAGAACAATTAGAAAAGCAATCAATAAGTCAACAAGAAGCTAAACCATTTTCTGCTAGTATATGGTGCAAAGTAATACATACTTTTTGGACTGACCAGCCTCAGAAAGATCAAAAAATTCCATTGCAACTCGACCTTCCACAGAACTAAGAGCATAACCTGCACATAATAATCTGATTTGAAAATCAAAACAAATATGCATTGCATATAAAGATCATCAATCCAAAATTAGCTAGGCAATTCATCAGAAATTTTCCATATCTAAGAATACGCCTTCTAGTCAAGTGACTCAAATTCCGGGTACCCGTTTTACTGCTCTCCACTGAGGCACTATTTTTACACCATTTAATGTTAAGCAGGAACTTTTCAGACACATGAATGTATATAAAAGCGATCTGTTTTAAAATATTCTTAATAAACATCCAAGTGTCTTTATTAAACCAAAACAACAGTTTTTCTATATTAACATCCCATCATTTTTCTATAAACAAAAAATAAAATAAAATAAAATAAAAAATTGAAGTTTTTAGTAAGGAGATGAAAACAGGATCATATCATAAATAAAATACTTTGGAAATCACCCATTGTGAAAAATAAAGGTTTCAACACATTGTAAGCTAGCTTCAGAAACCCTGGGATACCTGTTCCATTGGGATAACAGCGTACGCATCTAGTTTGGTACTTCAATGAAGATTCTCTTCGCTGCTCAGGCTGAGACATATTCCGTAAATCATAAATGTTAACATGCCTTCCTGCAGTTGCTACAACTAAACGATTGCCAACAAGAGACAAAGAATAGACACGCTCAGGTTGTGTGTACGTCCCAACAAGGGTGCGCTCCTGCCCACTTGCACCTCTAGGATCCCAACATTTTATTGTTTTGTCCCAACTACCAGTGATGACTTGCCCTAAAATTCATAAACAGATGACAAATGTATTATTGACTGGGAATTTTTTGAGAAATAAAACAAACAACATTGAGATTCCATACAAATGTGACACTGAATTTACTGAATGATATTAACAATCACATTATGATGAATCAGTTCAATGAAAACTAAGGTCATGAGACAGCATGCTTATTCTAAGTTTTTAAATTTGCATGGTCCAATTAGTTCTATCTTCACCATGACAGGAAATTACTGATATATATGTAAAACCGTATCCAAAACCAAAACTGGTACTAAGTATTGGAACTAACCAAACCCAGTATTGATTGACAAATGAATTTTGATGGCACAAGCTCAGTATCAGGTCAGAAAGTCAACCAACATGTGTATCCTGGTATACAGTTCAACTATTTAAACAAATCGTAAACTTGAACCTAATAGAAAACAAATAGATAAATAGCAGGTCAAATACCCATGTACATCTTACCTTTGATGTTTGTAATGTGCAAGTGAAGCAGCGTTATAATAGACAAATATCCATTTTAACAAAACTCTTCTACAGACACTGGTTAAGTAACTAAATTAGAATCATGCAGTTTTATGTCAATCAACAATGATTATTGTTTGCTTGCTTCCATAACATGATCAACTGTTTTTGGGCAAAAACATGGTTCCAAAAATAAATATTTGCAGTGGACATTCCCAAAAGGTATATATAACATAAATATACCAATTCACAATTCACACACCATAAGCCAATGCTTTCCAGCACAATAGTAATCAACAAAAAAAGGTTGACCGGACTAAACATGTAATCAATTATCATATGTACAAAATGTGCATGCAACTGATACTAATACTAAAACAGGTTTTCACTCTCACCAATAGATAGTCATTTATAAATAGTTCACCTGTTCACATGTGAAGCATGTGTCTTTGTCACTGTTAGCCTTGTATATATAGTGATACAATCTGAATGAGTTATTTTTCTTTTATTCTACTGTAGAAATGTTTTCATGTCTATAAAGCACAACTAAAACTCCAGTAAACTCTCCAGCAATTGGTGTGAATAGGATACGGAGCTAGTAGTCATTCCGTAGAACTCCTGCTCATTTTCTATAAGCATAAAGAAGTAATAAATCTATACTACAAAAAAGAAGTCATAAATCAACAAGAAATGTAAAAATGCTGTAACTACCAAAGACAACCTGCTGCATACGAGTATTCAATACAGCGTACAGGTGCATCGTGCTTTCCCAAAATATCCTCCTTGCCTGAGCTGAAAACAAGCCTGAAACATCAAAAGCACCATCTGCCATAAAGCTTGATGAAATGAATTTTGTAAATGTCAATGCATTGCATCATTTTGAGCCAATAGAGAAAAAATCAATGCATAAAATAAAGAAATAATGAATGTGGAAAATGTCTACAATCAATATATATGTCCATTCTTCTTGTATATAGAGGCTCAAATGATTATGTAAAAATAGGTCACCATCTAAGAAGCATGGACACGGACACGTGACACGACACGGATACGACACGAACACGCTGACACGTTAATTTTCAAAAAATGAAGGACACGACACGTAGGGGACACGCGTGAAATATGTAATTTTATATATTTATTATATGTTATATATATTAATATATCATTCAAAGATAATAAAAAATGCAATATGACACTAATTCTTATAAATTTATATGATTTTTGTTTTATTATTGTATCTTAAGTTATTTTGTTTAAACTTATAATTAGCTTTACATGTATCCAATCGATAGACACGTGTGTTTATGTGATTGACATGTGTGTCTTCTAAGTATCCAAAGAGTGTTCAGCTGTTTAAAAAAATTTTAAAATTAGGACACGTTTTGAAGAGTGTCGGACACCATCACCTACCACCACCTACTCCTCACCTACTCCTCACCTACTACACTCACCCTCTCCTATATAATGAGCCACTCACCATTTGTAATATCAATAAACATATATCAATCAATAATACAGCAATTTTAACAATGTCCATTCTTCTTGTATATAGAGGCTCAAATGATTATGTAAAAACAGGTCACCATTTTAATTGGTAGAAAGTTTCTTAATAGGCATGTTTTTCCCATCTCATAAGTGAGGCGAGTATAAATTTCTAAGTAGACAAGTTTGAAATTCATAGTTTGTACCATTGTCTAATGTCTCCGTTGCAGTCAGCTATGTGATGAATGATATCATCATTCAATCAATCCCAATTCCAGTAAAAACAGTAAAATTTCCATGAGTAGATGCCCAACATAAAACAAAGGTGAGCAGCTAGCATTCACAGGTTTAATGTTCTTTCATTATTGTCTAAATAATTATATTTGAAAAGTGTGCACCTTTCTTTGTTTGGATTAGTTTTCTGAGAATCTCCCAAACTTACAACAAAATTAGAAAGCATCACTAAAATACCAGACCAACAGGATTCTCAATTCCATTGAACCAAATGACATTAAATCTTGAAAACAAAAATGTAGGAATTGAAGCTTTTGCTAGCGATACTACAATTAAGGTAGATATTTTCAATTGCAATAGATTGATTTTTGGATTTCCCAGTTCAACGCTGTCAAAATTATTACCTTAAAAGTCAACTATATAATAAGATATATTTTGGTTCAACCAAACTTTGAAGTAATAATAGATAAGAATCGTACAGCTTTGAAATCAGCTATGATGTTTGGCTCAAAAGTACAAGGGTCATTGATCAACAGAATCCAATCCTCCCTAAATTCTTTGACATAAATATTCTAATATATGGCTGTTTCTCTCTAAATATCCAGCTTACTCTCTCTACTTTTCTCTCTTTTTATTTTTCCACCTTTCCCGTAATTATATGTGTATGATGAATCTATTCTTCTATTCTATTATCTCAAGTAAACATCCATCTATTCTATTCTATTATATAAAGTGAAGACCCAACTTGGTGCGGATCTGTCAAGCTATTTTTATACCAATTTCCCCTCGCAACTAACATACTCAGCTTCATAAAATTTCTCTACGAATTTCTTCAATTTTTATCTATTTATTTATTTTTTCCAGTTTTTAAATTAAAAAACTGTTTCAATTAGTTTTTAAATTTTGAAGTCAGTTGACTTTTCACAATAAAAATAAACTCTAAAAAACAAAAAAAAAATGAGTCTCAAATAAGAAACAGATATAATCAAAAAAAAGTTTCGAGATACCATTAATCCAAGCAAAAAGAGTGTATGAAACAGAACATAATCCAACGCAAAATAAACAGCAGCAATCATCCACCAACATTGCCAAAAAAAAGTAAAACAGGAACCATTAGAAGTAAAAATCAAAATTACCTTAAAAATTGGCAATGGCAACAAAACCTTAATTTTTCGATCAAAAACCCCAAATAAAAACCCTAAATTTTCAATTTAAAACATAACCTCTCAAAACTTTTTTTTTTTTTTTCCTCCATTGAAGTCCCCATATCACTAAACATATACATGAAATAGAACAAATAGTGATAGAAAAATCTGAACAGAGTTTTGCAAGAAATAGAAAAATCTGCCTTCGTCCAATCAACACCTCTTCACTATGGTGGTTTCGAAACCTAGCTTCGTAGAGAGAGAGAGAGTGAGAGAGAAAGTGAAAAAGAAGCAACGGTAGTTTACCAAAAAACAAAAGAGAATCAGTAGCAGTGAGTTGAAATCAGAATCGATGAGAGAGACACGCCGCACCGTCGTCGCTCGCTAGCCGCACCGTCGCACGCTGCTCGCTGCCATCGCTCGACGCCGTCGTCTGCCGCTGCTCACAGTCGAGAGAGAGAGTCGTAAGAAGAGATGGAAATTTTTGATAGGGTTTTTGGTTGACAAGATTAGGGATTTTTGAGATTGGGAATTTTTGGTTGAAGGGGGGGAAAATGAGCGCGAAGGGGAAAAAAAAAGCTGAGCGTTCGGATTTTGGGATTTTTTTTTTTTTTTTGCAACATCAAGTTTCACCGTCACAAATAGAAATTTAAATAATAAAACGGCGTCGTTTAACTAATTTTTTTATTTGCGACAGGGGAGATTGTCGTTGCCAAAAACCTTTATTTGCGATGGGGGGAGGTTGCCTTCACAAAAAATAGATTTATTTGTGACAGCAGGGGTTGCTGTCGCAAAAAAGCGTATTATTTGCGACTACAATTGTTGCCGTCACAAAATCTTACTTTTTTGTGACAGAAAGTGATGTTGTCGCTGAAACCCGCTTTATTGGAGACGGCAAGTGATACCGTCGCAAAAACTCATTTTTTGCAACGGTAAATGATGTCGTCGCAAATGCTTCCGTGTTATATACCCCCTTTTCTTGTAGTGAACATTGTAAGTCAAACTGAATCTTGATTGAATAATTTTAGTTACTCACACAAAATTTAATCTAGAAAGTAGAGTTTGGAGAGTATAGATTTGAAGTTTGTATTTTATCAATAAATGAATCTAGCCCATATATTTTCATTCGAGATAAATTTTTGAATAATTTTTTTTAATATGTGGCAAAATAAAAGATATTTATATTCAAGAAGGTAACATTTTTTTGCCTCCAAGACAACCACCAACGACTTGGAAGATGCATTGCTATAATTCTCATGACTTTAAAACTATCTTAGACAAGTCAGTCAATTATTCTCGTTGACGTTTATGGATGCATAAGTTGATTTACTTCTCTAAGATAGCTTTAACGTCATCACAAGTCAGTCAACTGATACATCCATAACTATCAACGAGAATAATTCTATGAACCCAATTATTCTCGTTGATGTTTTTGAATATATCAATTGACCAACTTATCTAAGATAGCATTAAAGTCATGAGAATTATAGCATTACAATTTACACCATCCAAGTAGTTGGTGATTGTTTTGAGGAAAAAAGTATCACCTTCTTGAATATAAATATCTTTTATTTTGCCACATATTTAAAAAAATATATTCAAAAATGAATTGAGTTCAGTTTGTCTATAGTTATAGATCAAGATTGGATTATCTAGTCTAACTAGTGGACTTACTTTTGGGCTTCACTAAGATTATTTAAACAGTATATTTTTGAGTTCATCGAGCATATCATCTATGTAAAAAAATCAAGTAGACCGGATTGTGACAATCACGTGTTCAACGAACCTTAAAATATGAACGATTCAGATTATCAAAGTGAAGCCCAAAAGTGGGCCCACTAATTGGAGACAACCTAGACCCAAATGAATTTGTATAGTGTAGTATTCATGTGTAGAATAAATCTAAATCTCAAAATAATAATTCTAAATAATTTGTAAGTAATTAAGTCTGAATTTGTAATATTACTATATCAAAAATTAAAATAATGACCTACCGACCCCATATTGCATAATTTCTTTTCAAGTGAGCCTATAAATTCAAGGAAAAAAATAAGCAAAAAATTATTCAATTTTTTTTTATCAAATGTAAAGATTTATTCAAAATATAAAAGGACTATAAATTTTTTTTAATTATACATTATTGATTTAATACTCTGGACACTTTCTTTGGAGAAATGCTAGACTCAAGGGTGAAGTTAAGGTAGGCCCAGAGGGGCAGATGCCCCCTGACCTTTCAAACTGTGCCCTTGTCCGGCATGGTGTCTACTAGTGTGGTGGCTTCTCCTTCTGTCACATAGTAAATTTTTCTATCCTAAAATAAAAAAATATTATTCAAAGGCTTGAACAAGATTTCAACCAAGACCTTGGTTTTATTAAGAACAATCTTACCATTTAAACAACATACATATGGCCTCGTTTGGAAAGTTGGCTATTTTAGTTTTTGACTATTTTAGTAGGCTAAAATATTTGTGTTTGGGAAGAGAATTAGATTTTTTTGTAGTTTGATGTGATAGTTGTGAGAGAAAAAGTGAAATGATTGAGAATTTGACGTGACTTTTTGTCTTACTGACTATTTTAACCTATTTTGTTTTTTTTTTGTAGATTTTAGTCCAAAAAAAGCCAAACCTTTACTTCCCAAACAGGGCCATTATGATATTATTTTTTTATTATTTATTTTTATGCTTACTTGTCTAAATTGCACACCATTGTGTTTGCCATCCACTAGTGTATATATATATATAAGCAGCCTCAAATCTAAAGAACAGACCTCATGGACAGTTAACCATATAGAAAAATCCAGAAATCATTAAAAAACAAACAATTAGGGCATGAATTGCTCTGACCTTCTCACAGTACTATCAGCACTAGCACTGAACCCCGAAGAATCGTCATGGAAGCAACAATCCAATACAGGACCGCCGTGCATGAACTCTCCTCTCAACACATTGGCACTCGCTTCGTACAACCGAACACTCTGATAAAAAATCACACCATCAAATTCAATTCAACTCGAGATCTAAAACAAACAAAGAAAAAAAAAAAAAAAAAAAAAAAAAAAAAAAAAAACTGAGCTAAGAGTTTACCTTGTCCCAAGAAGAAACGAGGAGGTGATCGCTGTGGTTGGAGAAGCGGAGATTCGATATGCCGTCGGAGGGAGGATTCGAGAGCTCCCGTCCGGCGACCTGTGGCACCGCCGCCATGGTTTTGTAGAAGGTTTCAGTGTGGACTAGGGTTTTTTGGGGGGGGGAGAGAGAGAGAGATGGTGAAGATTAGGGTTTCAGATAGAGAAATAGAAAGCGAAAGAGAGGGAAGGTGTTTTGAAATGACAAGACAGAAGTACCGGTTGGATTAGGAAGCAACACAAACCCCACGGGCTGCACTGTAGTCTGTTTCTAAAACTATTTTTTGATTTTGAAAATTGGAAGTTCAAATTCAAAATGATTGTTAACTTATCCGATTCTTTTTTGAGGAATTTGGTTATAAACTCTTCTTATCTTTCTTTTATTGTTAAAAGGATTTAAAAAAAAAATTATACTTTTAAATTCTTTCATAATTATAAAGTCTTGTATAAAGGATAAAATTTATTATTTAAATATTTTATCAGACTATTATACCTTCAACTAAATCTTATCAATCACCATTTCTGTCTCTCAAGTTTCATCTAATACAACTATTGCTTATACATAGACGATGACGTCATGGTTAAGGTTTCAAACGAAATCTGGTCGGAGTGACCAGATTTGGTAGCAAATGCCTCCATGGAAACGATAAGAAGATCAAAATAGTAAAAGTTCATCCTCAATCAATGGCTTTGTTGTTTGCACCTAAGGAATAAGCTCTCTGTCTCAAGATCCAAAAAAATCATCACTCGTAACTTTCTCTTCGGATGATTATGACAATGAGCAACACCAACTGACGATGGAGATCGTGGAGGTGTGAGAGATGATATGCGGATATGGTAAAGATTTATGAGAGAGAGGTGTGTGTGTGTGTGAGAGAGAGAGAGAGAGGGAGAGAGAGAGAGAAGACACAATAATGATAGAAGACGCGATAACTAATTGATCTTCGACATATGTTGATTAGTCTTTTTGTTTTTGTTCTTGATTTATTTTTGTTGATTTGCCAAGTTCAATCAGGTGTGTGCTTTAGTTTTTGTTTGACAGAATGAGAGTAAAATTTTACTCTGCTTTGTGCTCTATTTTTGTTTGACAGAATGAGAGTAAAATTTTACTCTAGTTTGTACTCTGTTTTTGTTTGACAAAATGAAAGTAAAATTTTACTCTGGTTTGTGTTTTGTTTTTGCTTGATAAAATGAGAGTAAAATTTTACTCTGGTTTATGCTTTATTTTTGTTTTATAAAATGAGAGTAAACATTTACTTTGGTGTTATCTATTTTGTTTTTTATTTTTTTTTATACAATGATATTTACTTCTGTTATTTGTTTTTGGACTCATAGTGGCACTAAAATTTTACTATCAATTCATTGCAGATTTGAATTATATAATGATAGTAAAATTATACTTTCAGAGTAAAGTTTACTACGATTCAAAGTAAAATTTTACTCGGGTTAAAAACATGTTGATTTGTTTAACGATATAAAATTTTGCTTTAAATCATAATAAACTTTACTTTGATTCAAAGTTTTTTACTCTGAAATTTTACTCTGGTTAAAAACATGTTGATTTGCTTAACGATATAAATTTTTACTTTGAATGAGAGTAAAATTTACTCTGATTCAAAGTAATTACTCTAAAATATATTGTGAGGATGACTTAATAGGAGAGTTGATAGATATGGGGGCAATATAGTAAAAGAAACAAGTTTTTAAATATTAGAGGGTTTTGAAAGTACCTATATAATTCTTGTCCTTTTGAGAGACAAATTAAATAGTGAGGGATCTATCACCAAATCTCCAATTTTTTATTGGGCAAATTACCAACACCCCTTGATATTTGACTAAAATGTGAATTTTCTTGGGGTTTAAGAAATTACATCCCACTCTTAAGATTTATATTTACATAACAAATTGTCCCTTGAGATTTATATTTTGCATAACAAATTACCCCGTCATATGTTATGCAAATATAAACCTCATGAGGCAATTTGTAATTCCCTAAACCTTAGGAGGAATCTATATTTTAGTCAAACCTCGAGGGGTGTTGGTAATTTGTCCTTTTTAATTTTAATTAAAAAATTATTATAAATTGTTTTATTATCATTTTTATTTTTTTAATATATATTTTTTTTAAAATAAAAATTATTAAAATAATACATTCCCAAATGAGGCCCATAATTTAAGATTATTGTATAGATTATTTACAAAAATTATAAATCGTTTGGATAATCGCAATCCATTTAATTTATTGTATTTGTGTCAAAAAAATTGACCGATAAATGTGCTTTAACTACTCAACTTTTAGTGACAAACCTGATAAATTAAATAAGTTATTATAATTGAATTGATTTAATTTTTTGTATGAATAATACACAAAACAAACCTTATAAAATGAAAATCTTGAATTATCGAAACAAAATTTACAATGGGCCCTACAGGCCAGACATTACCCTTCAATCTATAACTAATGTGTGTGTATTTGGTTTGAATTTTTTGAATTAAGTTTTTGAAAATTGAATTTTTTGTTTTTCATATTTTTTTTGTTTTTAGTGAATATTTTTTAAATTTTAATTTTTTTTTTACTTTTTTAAATGCACATTACTTAGATGTATCTAAAAAGTAAAAAATTTATAAAAATATATTTTAAAAAATTAATAAAAATATGAAAAATATATTGAATTCTTGTATTTTTTTTTCTGTATTTTTGGTATTTAGTGAATTTTTAAAAGATTCTTTTCACAAAAATTATACTTTTTATGTGTGTTTATGTTAGGTGTGTCTAAAAATAAAAATAAAAATTGCTTAAAATATTTTAAAAAATTAAGTAAAAATTAAAAAATACAAAAAACAAGAAAGTATGATTTTCTGAAAAGTGTTTTTGAAAAACAAAAAACAAGCAAAAAAAATTTCGTTTGGGATATGGGTTGGTTTTTTGACTTTTTGACTATTTTAGCTTATAGCAAAAAAGTATAATTTTGAATAGGTTTTTGATTTTTTTTTTACTTTTGTGAGAGAAAAAATAAAATAAATATGATTTTAATGTGATATTTTATTTTATTGATTTTTTAACTTTGTTGACTGTATAATTTGTAAAGCCAATCACAATTCAACATGGCACAAAGAGGGCAATTTAGGAAATTAATACAAGCAGCCAACCAAAGTCAAACACGTGTCAGTCCGTATTGGTAATAATGGATCTGCGTAGCACTGGAACAATCGAGGGATACAAGGTGATGTGGCCTAACGGTTACTCACAAAATTTAAATTCAAAATTAGGAAGGAAGCCTAACTAAGAGTGGCGTAGTGGGATTAACTGTGAGAGAACATGTTCAGCAATCATAAGAGGACATTTTGACGGTTAGAAGCCCATTTTGACAGTTATCATAGAAAAGTATAAATAGCAGAAGAGGCCTCAGAATGAAAGACCCCAGACTCAGATCAAAAAACCAGTTTATTTACTTCGTTTTTCCTTCCAATTTTTACAGTTCTTTATATTTCTACACTTCAATTCCTATATTGCACTTCATTTCCTAAAAGTAGTTTCAAATAGCTTCTTGCTGTAAACCTCTATGAGGTTAGGTCAGATCATTGTAAGTTTTCATTTTACTTAATGAAATTCAGATTCTGAAATTGTTCTTCACTTGTTGTTATTTACTAAATTCTCCTAAACTAGCCACCAGTAAAAGTCCTCTTCATTGAGACTGAGAGAACTATAACACAATTGTTTGATAATTGATTAGCAATTAATATTTTGTAAGGACTAATTGATCCTTGTTGGCACACTTAAAATTACATTATTAACCTTCGAAAGTGAAAAAAGCCAGCATATATTTTTGGCACACCCAGTGAGACACTAAAATGGCTAGGCATAGGAGATAAAGGAAAAATGAACGCCTAGAAGAAGGTATGGAGGGAGAGGGAGAGGTAGAAGTACCTGATCCAGAGAATAATGTGATAACACATCCTATGGAAGTACCTATCTCATCAAAACCTATGGTCGAATAGACCAGCAATTCGGAACATGCACCACATGTTCAAAATATTAGACGAGGCCATGGAATTGAACCATCCACTATTTCGTCTACCCAACCAATGAATCCATGTGGAGGCTTAGTAGATGCCATGGGACAGCAGTTAATGTATACAATAGAAAGATAGACAACATCCTTCATGGATCGAATGAATTTCCATCAACCAACTAGCGCGATAAACAGCCTATGCAAAGTAGTGGACATACTAATGCTCAAACTAGTAATCAAAATTATGAAAGACCATCATCTATACCTCAGTCATGGTATGAGCCTCTTTCGAGGCCCATGGTAAACCAAAATATCTCATTACCTAACAGTAAAGCCATACAAATTGGTGGATCTGGGCTAACGCAAGAAAATGGCACGAGAATGTTTCCAAATCCCATGTTCGAAACCATGCCTGGCACAAGGGGGTTCATTAACCCTCTGTTCGAATTCACACTCGGGGGTTGGAAGGGTTTCTTGTAGCTGAGAGAAAAACAACACTTGTTCCTTTTTTCGCAGGTTCTTTCGCAGGACAAACTTAGAGAGGTCAACTATACCCTCAACAGCAGCCAGTCCCAAATATACCTCCCTATGGACTAAGAGAACCTCAAGCTCATGGGTTTCCACCAAACCCTGTGTTTGTTCCTCCAATAGTAGTCCAACAAGCACAGAATATGGTTCATAGGGGACCAAGTTCCTGATATTATCAGAGAAATGTGTAGACCGATGACTCGAGGGGTTCAGACTCTTGTATATAGAAAGCCATACCTAGAATGAGTAGATAGGGTACATAAATATTTAGGAGGATTTAAAATACCAAACTTTGCTCTCTTTTATAGAAATGGAAATCAATCAACAGTAAAACACATTGTCAGGTTTGCAAACCAATTTGGTGAATTTACCAATAATGATTATATAAAGTTGAGACTCTTTCCAAATCCTTTAACTGGGGCAGCTTTTGTATGCTATATTAACCTTACACCAGCTCTATCCAAACTTGGCAGCAAATGGATGAGGCATTTCATGCCCAATTCTTCCAAACAGAGCCAGAAGTTTCCATGGTAGATTTAGCAAGGCTGAGCCAAAGGCCTGACGAGAAGACTGTTCAATTTATTGCCAAATTCAAAAGAGTACGAAACAAGTATAGGGTCATTTTACCAGAACCTAAATTTGTGAGATTGGCTTAAAATGGTTTAGAGTTTAGGTTTCGAGAGAAATTTGATTAAACTAAGTTTTGAGACTTAGTGGAATTAACCTATAAAGTGTCTATA